ACACAGAAATTAGCCAATCATATATCTCAAAATTTGGCTTTGACGAACTTTATTAACAAAAGAAAAACATGTAAGGAGAGACCAACTTGATTCTGTGTTTACATTACCCCAGCGTTCCCCTCTCCCTCATAGTGAAAAAAAATTTAGATAAATATATATAAGGCTACAGACTATTTCGGAAAATTTTTGTATAATCACGAAACAATTCGGAAATATTTTTTTTTGAAAGAAAAGTTTTTTAAAATTTTATTATGTAAACCGCAAATCCCCCGGAGGGGAGAGAGGGTAATGTAAAATACAGAATCAAGTTGGTCTCGCCTAAACTTAATGGATGGATGTATAATGAATAATGAATATTTAAATATATTAAAAAATCCAATCTTCAATGTAACCCGAGGATCAAATATTGGATGATAAGTTCTTCGTATTGGTGTAACAGAGGAAATGCACATTCTTAAGCAGGAATAGAAATAACTTGGGGCGTAAATTTGTTATGTCGAAAATTTTTACGAAAACACTAACGAATTTAAATAAATTAGCCATAAAACAATGCCTCTACAAGAACAAAGCCTTGGTAAGTGTTCGAGTGCTGTGCTGAAATTTGTAAGCTAAGCCATAATGCCTTAAGTTTACATGTATTGTCGCTATGATTGAAATGGATTGCAAAGTTTACTGATAGCTTTGTTGTGCAGAAAATCAAAACAAAAATTATTGGCGCTAACAAACATCAAACTGTAATTAGAAATCATTATTCTTCTGTCGCCTTAAGCTTTATGTGTATCGTGGCTATGTTATGAACTTAATAAAACGGGGTGCAAAGTTACTGATGACTATTTTGCGCAGATACTCTAACTAAATTCAGTGGCGTCAACAAACAATAAACTGTACGTACGTGCGTACATAATTAGAAGCCATTGCCGTGGTTATGTTTTTATGGCCCATTTCACGATTTAGGTCGATTCCACATTGACCTATCTCATTCTTGAATTTTCACCGATTCGGAAATGACTCAGGTCAATGAAATTTAAGGATCAGGTGTGGCCAATCATTGGTGACAAATAAGCACTAACTATATAAGTAAACTAGTTAGTGCTTATTTGTCACACAAACGACTGGTCACACTCCTGGAAGAAGGGTCGTCACTAGATCCCGAAATTTAATATGAGAAATTAATTATTGCAAAAAAAAAAAATAAATAAATAAATAAACCTTCGAACTTAATTTTAAATACGACTTTCTCATTTTTTCTTTTTAATTTTTAAAAATGGAACGTTAAGACTTACTGGCTCGTGAAACCTTTGATCGAATATTAGAAATTTTATTCATTAAAGGAAAAACAATCACTGCTAATGGATCAAAATAAATATAATCAATGTTTAACTGTACTTAAAAATCCCAGCGATTTATAGAACCCCAAATTTAAATATTGGGTAACTCAATTTTAAAATTCTTTACGTTGGTGCGACTGAAGAATTTCATATGGGGCGCAAGTTTGTCCTGTCGAAAAGTTTTATGAGATAATCTGTGCCGCGCGCCAAGCAACGGAGCACGCTGGTCTAGAAAAACGTGGCGAAAGATTTTAATTTATTACTTATTGATCATTATTTTTATGAGGTTTGCTATTTATCATCACAGTATGCTATATTCTAAAAATAGGATTAAGAAACAGGGGTCAGATGTATTAAGTAAAAGCGTTGGAACCTCTAAAAATTAAAACTACATATGATAGAAAACATAACTGTTGATTTGTATTAATTCTCTATTTTTATTACTTATTATTTTTTATTTATTATTATTTTTTATTATTTATTATTTTTTTATTATTTATTATCTTTTATTAATTACTAATTTTTTATTGATTACTATTTTTTATTATTTATTATTACCTATTATTTTTATTTATTTTTATTACTTATTATTTTTATTATTATTCTTTTATTTATTATTTTTTATTACTTATTTTTTTTACTTATTATTTTTTATTATTTATTATTTATTATTTTTTATTACTTATTATTTTTTTAGAGATTGTTATTTTCATTATGGTTTTTTGCTATTTTTATATGTTATACAAAATTTTATTTTGTAATATTTATATCTTTATAGCTTGTTAATTTATAAAAAAGAAGTTATTTGATACTATATAAAAAATAAATTTTTTTTTATAATCTTATTTTTTATTTTGTATTTTATATATTATTTTTTTTGTACTTCAGTTATCCTGATTTTGTTTTATTTAGAATTTATTACTTTTGAACAAAATTTATAAGAATTTTTATCAATAGGTTAGAGTAAAATTAACTAAAAAAATAGCTTGCCTACAGCTTATTAGGTATAAACTTGTAATTTGCCAAATATAATTTGTTTCAGTAACAATTGATTTTACTCTAGATTTCTAACTTACTAAAGATTTTTCTTTATTCTTTGACAAGCAGCTATATCCTTATCAAGAAGCAACATACAAATACATAGTAAAAATAAGTATTAAAACAAAAACAAAGATATAGAAGTTACAATAAAATACAAAAAAAGAATGAAAAAGTAAGGAAAGTAGTGAAAAAATAAAATTTACCTATACTAATGATTACAGTTATATGTCTATATTAGGCTTATAAAATTACATACTATTAAATAAACTAGTTACTACACTAAAGTTTATCTTATTAGTATATTTAAGTAAAAACCTAGTAGAAAAATCTCTTTGATCTAATTATTATAAAGAGATCAGAACTAAGTCTTAAAGTATTATTTGTACAGATATTTTTGTATTTGAGACATATATATAGATATATGTTTGTTGCTGCTCAATTGTTGTTTGATCTGATTTGAAAGATAAATAATGCTAATTATTTTGCTATATATAATATCAATTTTTTGATAAAAGTAAACTGAAATGTTTACTTTTACAAAAATTTTTTGAAAATAATTAGTGGGCCAATAAGAGTATATGAAGTTCTTCTGTAAGTTTTATAGTTATACATTCTAACTTCTAAGCCTTTACTAAAATTGATAAAGGTCTACCACTTCTATTTCTAGAATAACCTTCTGATTTTGATGCTGAATATCTTAAGAAATCTGCTAAAAAAAATTTAATCTCAAAAAAACCAGCAAATAATATTTGCTTCTTAGTATATTATGTTTAATTTAGACTCCATCAATAATAGCCTACTTCATATAAAATTAAAAAAGTATCTGCTTAGTTACCTTTTTATACTTTTTGCTATAGTTAAATGTTGTTATTGTTGATCAAGAGATTGTTAAAAAGAATGTGAATAAAAATTGTTTATATATTATTAATTTATATAAAAAAGAAGTTTTTAGTATTATATTAAAAATAAGAGAATTGCTATTCTTAACAAATTGTAAAATTCACAGTCCTGCATCTGGCCAATCAAAATTGCAGAATTTATGCAATCTGCAAATTTTTTTGTGTAACAAAAACAAAGTTTTTTTATAAACAAAAACAAAAAATTACTTATAACACAAAATCTAGCTTAAGAAACTGCCTTTGATGTTATAAGTAAAAAATTCTTTGCTAAATTTTACTATAAAATTCATTTATTTTTATAACCTTAACCCAACCCTAACTTAAATAGAAACCTTTTTTGAAGTGAACCATAGTAATTTTCATCTATAAAAACCTTAAATTTGATTGGCTAATGCAGACCTGTGAATTTCACAGGCTGTGAATCGTAGTAATTTTCTAAAAATAAAATATGTTTGACACAACTTCAAAGCTTTCTTTTTAAAATCTTACAATATATCTTCCCATTCCTGGTTTTGCGCAACTGCGTTGCACAGCTATCTTATTTATAAGAAATTTGTCCTTATGAAAGTTTCGCAGATTTTGCAGGTTTTGCAGGTTTTGTCAGAGGTTTTGTCATTTGAGGTGGTAAGCTTCGTCTTTTGTCATTTGCGAAAGGGGTTTTACTAACAACGCTAGTGTAATCTTTATGATCTATTAGATATATATATCTATATAAATATTTAGAATTTTGTAATTTATCGCCATAGTGATATATTGGTATCCCTGAAACTTAATGGTCACGTCGTGTGATGTCAGTGTTCCAATATTCAAACCCGCTTAT